AATTAATTTCTTCTTGTTAAAAACTGACAACTAAAACTCTCTGTGGAAGCCACATAGTGGGGTAGGGAAAAAATCCATCAGCTTCCAGGACTTAAACTTTCCAGGCCCAGAGGCAGGTCTGTGCCATATTGTGCAAACGGACACATTCAGTGCTGAGATGCTGAAGCCATGGAACATTCAAGTCTTTAAAGTTACTGCCCTTGATCTGGTTCTCAGCACATCAAGCGATCTTTTGATCACTTGGTTTCTTACTGGCCTTTTTTTTCTCTGCAGTGGTTATCTAGGCTTCTCATTTGCAGAAGTCTCCATTCTTGGGTCTTAGATCTGGCTTGGGAAGGCTCCAGGGTATATCTCTGACCCACAACAGCCCCTCAGAGATTTGCACCAGCAATGTATGCCTTGGGTCTTTTCTTCCCTGGGTGAAACAGCCGCGTTCCTCCAGCCCATCCTTTGGAGACCCTCTTTACCCTGTGGTGCATAGGACCCAAAGCAGAGGTTGTCAAAGATCTGATCCCCAGTTGGCTTTCTTACATTTTTTATACTGTGAGCCTCTGGGGAGCTGCAAAATTTGCTCTAGAAGAGACAGTACAAACCAGACTAATTGGTAGCCCATCAAAAGCTGTTGTCTGGCTGATTTCCCTTAAGATAATAGAAAAAAAAAGGGGGGGGGGAAATGTGGGACTAGTTTATACATTAAGATTCTGCTATCTTAATAAATTTCCTGCTAAAATATTACTTGCTGTGTCATGGACAGGATTTTTTTTCTCTTTAAATTTTCATGTAAAGTAGAATCACATTGGTTCTTTTTCTTGTATTTGTTTCCTAAACTTTACAAAAATAGGTCAAGTATATAGCGTGGCCTACCATGAAGATTAAAGATCTTTGACATTCTGTAATAAATTAGTTGGAGAAAAAACACTTAAATTTTAGGACAGTTATTGAGTCTAAGGGTTCAGGACTAAAAGCTATGCTAGAAGCTAGCTTGAAATGCTGTTAATGGTTACTTTAATGTAGTCTTACCACTTTTTTCATATGACCCAATTCACTTTTTTAAATGATGGAAGAAGACTGAGTAAAATTTTTAAAAATGATTTGTGAGATGAATTTTACAGGAAGAAGTAAAGCTGCTGAATTCCAGTTCAGCCCTGTGTATAGAAAGCTGTTAGCACGTAACCTCGGATAAGTCACTAAGCTCTCTGCCTCAGTTTCCTTATCTACCCAATAAGTGCATTGCCCTCATTAAAGTGAGATTCCTTCAAGTTCTTAGATTATGAGCAGTGGTTCTGGACCTTTTCCCCCCCAGGGAAACACACAAACACACACGGGATCATATTTCTATTCTGTGTGTGTGTGGTTGCTTTTTGTTTCAAGGCAGCAGTACAGATAAAATAAGATGCAGCTTATGCATAATTCCCAGTTCTAATCCCTTTTCCTCAGTGATCACTGCTTTTACATTCAAGAACCACAGCTCTGGAGATCTGCACATTTGTGGGCTGTGTGCCACCTGGAAGATTTTTTTAATGCAAAATGCATCCATTTTTTAAAAACATTAATTTACTTCTGTTCATCAGCTGAGTGTGTAATTATATATTCTCATGATTACATTCTTTCTCCCGAATCTGCTTACTGAGTTCCACCAGAATGAAAAAATAACCCCTTGCAAACCTCCCCGCTCCAGAAAAGTCTTCAGAAGGCAGAGCTCCCTTACCTGCTGGCCATCTTGATCACTCTAAAAGGCTAGATCCCCTGTTTGTCCTGTGACTGCCTTTGTGGGAGGCCCAGAAAGGTCTTCAGTGACAAGGTTTGCCCAGGGGCTGATTGCACAGTGGCTTCTTGGAACTGAAAAGGAAAGAGGTTTAGTGTCCTAAAAGAAGGAGAAATGACTACTCAAATAACCAAGTCTAGGTTATCACCTCACAGCCTCTTTTGATGGCAATGATATCCATGCAAATGCCAAGCCAGGCGACCCCACACACCTGTCTGTCTGAAGGACCAATATATTCTCTTAAAGCACTTCTGTTCATCAGTGCCAGTAAAAAGAGCAGCTCTCCCTCTGCCTGCCAGGAGCACGGCTATTAGATCAATTAGCAGCACCTCAGCCACCCAGATGCTTCTACCTTCTTCTGAAAAGCAGCCTTCCCACAGACAGATCACACTGAAATGGCACTTGCTAGCATCCATATGAATCCCAGGCACTGATGATGACAGGCTGTCCAGCTCGCCTGTCGACTGCAACGCAGTGCACACAAGTGTCAGCATTTGGCAAAGCCTGTAACAAGGCCAGAGTCAAATGAGAACATTTGAGCTGTACAGGAGTCAGCACGAGCCATCTGACCACTTTCTCTGGGATTGCACTCAGTGGGAACCTATCAGAGAGGCAAGCTTGGACCCCAGATCAGGGGCTTCACCACACAGGATGAAAGACCTTCAGAAGGGGAGTTAAGGGACTTCCCTGGTGGTCCAGTGGTTAAGACTCTGTACTCCCAATGCAGGGGGCCAGGGTTCAATCCCTGGTTGGGGAACTAGATCCCGCATGCACGCTGCAACTCAGAGCCTGCATGCTGCATCTGAGAAGTCCGCATTGCCACAACTAAGAAGCCCGCATGCTGCAATGAAGATCCCGTGTGCCACGACTAAGACCTGGCACAGCCAAAATAAATAAATAAATAAAATTTTTTTTAAAGGGTGGGGGGGCGTTAAGTTGACAACGCTTTATATTAAAGTGTGACTCGGATATCTGTCATCTGGGACTTTCCTCTCCCTTGAGATATAAATAAGCTTTGCTTCAGATTGCAGTCTGTGGAAATCTGAATTCTATGACTTCTTGGGGGCTTGGGGTCTCTGCCTCAGCTCTTGGTTCCATTCCTGGGACCGTAGCCCTACAACTTGTCAGGTTGCCTATAAAAAAGCATGTATGAGCATGGGAGGCCTTCCGAAAAGCTGGTGTCATTGAGGAGACTCACACTGCATATCCTCTAATGGCATAGTTAACAGGCCACACGAGACTTCCCTATTCTCTTAAGCTTTGCTACTCAGGGTGTGGCCAGAGGACCAGTAGCACCTGTAGGACCTGGTGCTTGGTAGAAATGCAGACTCTTGAGCCCCACCCCAGCCCCAGTAAATCAGAATCTAGGTTTTAGTAAGATCTTAGGAGATTCCATTCATTAAAGTGTGTGGATCACAGATCTAAAGTCCTTTTCTGTCCCCTCACGCTGGACGATTCTCTACCCTGCCCTTGCTCCACGCAGTACCCAATCTTTCGCCTTCTCTTTCTTCCCCCTCCGTTCTCTCCTGTTCTTTCATCTCTTCCCTCCCTGTCAGGAGCTACAAACAAATTCTTTGTGTCCTGACAGAGCAGGCCTCTTTTCTGGAGCCTCAAAGCCAGTCACCACCTAGGCCCTGAGGGTCTCACCTTCTACCAGCCCTCAATCCTGTCCCCAAGCTTACTGAGGTATTTGTCTAAACAAGGCCCCCCACTAAGAGGGACCCTGATACCAGCTACTCCGATAAAAGAAATCTCTCCATCTCATTACATAACACAGCCCCGATTTTATAAAGACATTCCAAACAGACCCTTAAATCAATTCAGGATTATTAGCCATCATGTAAGTGTTAGACCTGGGGAAACTGAGTCTTCGGCAGGAAAGTGACTTATTCAAGGTCTTTTTGTGGTTACTGGCAGAGGCAGGACCAGAAGAATTCTTAGACTTCCCAGTACAGTGTTCTCTTCACTACACCTCTAATTATTCTACTTTAAACTGCACCTTTAAATGGCAACCAAATTCTCTTCCTGAGCAGCAAATATGTATTGGGTGCCTGCTGTTTATAGCAAGCGTTGTTTAAAGGTCAGAAGAAGCAAAACAGACCCAGTTTTTCCATACTCGCTCCTTTGCCCAGACTTCTCCCTCAGACTAACATCCTCATTCCCACCTATCTGCCTGGCAAACTCCTACACATCTTTGAGAATCAACAGTTGGGACCTTCTTCCAGGTTCCTCCGCAAAATTAATCACTAATTCCTCTGTGCAAGCACGTTATTATACCATTTCTTCCATCATATGTTAAGCCTTTGTTGTCCTAGCTGTTCCGCTCTGGGTAGAAGGTTCTTCAAGGGAGGGCCGAACTCTGTGGTCCTCATCACTGTATCGTCAGTGCCCGGCACAGGAGAGGCGCTAAAAGTGTTCGTTTTCGTCCTCTTTTTTTTTCCTCTTGGATATCGCTACAAATTAATGACATCAGTCAAACAAATCCTGTCCTTAACTCATCCACTTCGTCCTTAAGCACCTGACCCCTTTCTGGACCTACACTGCCTCGGCCCATCTGCCTCACCCGGCCACTCATTTCTAGTCTTGGCCTCCCCTCTCTATTCTGTTGTTACCCAGAGGTTCCAGCCTAGCCACCAGCTACTTGTGCGTGACTTCTTGAAAATCACTGTACCTTCTGGCCCTCATCTGCAAGTTGAGTGGGTTTGACCCATAAGCTAAGAGCTCTCGATGGCAGTGTTACGAGATTGTAACACACCTCACAGGTGTGTTATAATCAGTTGTGAGGTGCTTTATAATTTTTTCATGTAATCGTTAAGGTTTACCAGTGGTCTTTTTAACAAATAGAGAAGATTTAGGGTTATCCCTCTGACTATCATTCTCAGTTGCATTCTGATGTGCTTTCTGGAACAGGAGAAGACGGGTGTAGTTCCAGGGATCACACACGCTTGGGGCACACACACCTTGGGATCCTCTTATGCCTCACCAAAAAGTTCCATATCATGTGTGTCTCAACTGGGCACAGGTTGATCTATAAGATTCTTTCTGCCTCCATCATCCTTTGAGCTATAAGACCTGGATAGAAGACAGGAAATTGTGAAATTGTGAAAATTCTGGATTTCCAAATCCCCCCTGTGTTGTGGTGGCTCCTTTTAAAGTTCAAATCTCACTCAGGAACACTTGAACAGGTAACGAACGCTCTTAATTTTTTCCTCTTCCCCTTTGGCTTTGCTCCCAGGAAGCGAGAAGAAGAAAATAGGCGAAGAGAGGCAGAACAGCAGAAGGGAAGGCTGAGCCCAGATTCCTGCAGACCCCAAGCTCCTCCCTGTCTGCCCAGCACCCAGGCTGAGCCCCGCAGGCAGAGCTGGGCGCCCAGCAAACAGCCTCCCTGCAGCGACAAGGCCCAGGGCCCTGAGCGGAAAGCCTGCAGACGGTCTCCAGGCAGAGGGTCTCCAAGCAGAGCCCCCCAGAAGGAGCAGCATCTCTCCCCAGACTTGCAGAGAACAGATCTCGGAAAACCAAATGGTAGGTGTATTGCCTTGTTATTCAGTGCTAAGCTATGGACTGTGGGCTCTTTTGATTCATGTACTTAGACCATTTACATTTAAGGTAATTATGTCAGCACTTAAGTCGGCCATTTTAATATTTATTTTCTCTTTATTTCCTCTGTTTCTCTTTTCTTCCCTTCATTAACCAGACCCTCATGATGTGACAGCCCTGTTGTATTTCCTCAAGTTCTTTCTTAGCTTGGGACCTTTGCATATAACAATCCTTTTATCTGTATGGACAAAAAGTACCTTTTATTTTTCAGCTCTCAGAGTGAATGCTCCTTCCTCTGTACAGCCATGCCTTCCCACTAAACAAGGCTTCGTTTTCCTGCTATATGCTCCCATAGCTTTCCTGTACTTCCCTATTATAAGGATCATCACCTTTCACCGTTATTACTGGCTTACTTGTCTATTTTTTCCACTAGACTATAAGATCTGTAAAATCAGTGTTGCTTCGGTTATCTACTGCTGTGTAACAAACTACACTAGAACTAAGTGGCTTACAATAACAGTTTATTATTTCTTATGATTTTGTGGGTTGGTTGGGCAGTTCCTCTGCAGGCTTCTCCTGCTCTCACTCATGTGGCTACATTCAGTTCAAGGTCAGTTCAATTGGATGGTCTAAGATGGACTGACTTGAATGTCCGGCAGTTGATGCTGGCTATCAGCTGGGATTCCTCAACTCTGTTTTACCTGGCCTTTCATCCTCCCATAGGCTAAACTGGCTTTCTTACACAGTGGTCTCAGGACATTATTCTAAGAAAGCACAGGAAAAAACTATAGGACCTCTTGAGGAATAGGCTCTAGAATGTGCACGCGACATTCTGTTGATCAAAGCCAAGTTATATGACCATACAAGAATAAATAATATGGAGAAATAGATTCCATCCTTATGCGTGCTAGGATGGGAGTCATTTGGGGCTATTAAACAATCTATCACAGTTCCTTCTGGTCACAGATTATTCACATTTCTCCCACATGCAAAATATTCTCACCCTTATCTTAGGACCCCAAAATCTCATGTCAATTATCACATCAAGTTTGAAGTCTGGGATCTTGAGACCAGTGTCGTGTCCAGATGTTGTTGAGGTTCCCCAGGTGTGAATCTTTCTGATTCAGAGACCAATGGACAAAACACACATCAACCACACACACATCCAGCAAGCAGTGGTGAGACAGGAACAGAATAAACCACAGGAGACATTCCTGTTCCAAAAGGAGAGAAATAGGAGGTACATAGCAGTCACTAGTCCATAGCAATTCTGAAAGCCAGCTGGTTATACATTAGCAGGGCCCCTACTCTGAGGTATGAAATGTGCCTTGATTAGGGTCTGGTTTTACTCCTATGTGTGTTTTCTATTCCATTGTTCCCCTTGGCTCTGGGCTCTGCCACCTGGGTTCTTGGCTCTACTCTCTGAGAAGTCTTCCTTTTCCTTGAGACATAGCCCATGTTTGCAGCTGAGTAGACTTCTTAGCCTGTTTCCTGCATATAGGAAATTGGGGCCCCAGAGGCTCCTTTTCATTTGGGACCACCTCAGTAGTTCAAGCTGGTGGCACTCTCAGTGATACAATTATCTCAAACACTTCATGGGTCTTCTATGAATCTGACTGGGTTCACTCCATGTTCCAAAACCACATCCATAATTATCTTTCAAATAGGCCTCTCTCTACTTTGGGTGGCTCAGGCTGCTGCGGAACAATGCCCTTGAGATTCTTAGAAGTTCTTTTGTCTAGCTGAGAGGCCTACAATGTACCATCTTTAATATTTTTGAGGTCTTAATAAAGGGTTGCACAGCCATACTCTTGATTTGATCTTTATCTCTAGGTCATATCTAACTATATGAGACTCTTTTGTTGGCAAGAAAAAATGAAAATTTAAAACAGTTTTCTAACCCAGCACACTCTGTGCTCTTTATATTTACTCTAAATTCTGCTTGCAAGCTGAGTAGTTCTTTGTTTCTTTCTCCCCATACCTTATCATATGCAGCTAAAAAAAGCCAGTTGATATTTTCTTCAACATTCCACCTAGGAAGCTCCTAAGCCATATCTACAAGTTCATTAGGTGTATTTTCTATCTTCCAAGTTACTGCAGATGACAATTTTGCCAATTATCCTGCCACTGAATTACACAGTTCACTTTTCTCCAGACTCCAATAGCAACTTCTCCTCTGCTCCTCCAGACTTCACTAATAGTTTCTTCATTGCCTTTCTAGCTTCTGCTCACCAGCCAGTTCCAAAGTCAATGCTCTGGTTTTTTGTTATGCCAGCGTGTCTCTTTTTCAGGTATCAGTTTCTGTGTTATCTCTAGCGGCATAACACACCACCCCCCAAACTAAGTGGCTTAAAACAATGGTTTATTATTTTTCACAGTTCTGTGGGTTGGTTAGGCAGCTCCTCTACTGGATCAGCTGGGCTTACTCCTGTGGCTGCTAGAAGTTTGCCCAGGCTAGAAAGTCCAAATGGCTTCCTTCACATGTCTGGTAATTGGTGCTGGCTGTTTGCCAAGGTGTCTCAGTTCTCTTCTGTATGACCTTTCATCGTCCAGCAAATTAGACCATCTTCCTTGCATGTTTTTCTCAGGGCAGTGCTCTGAGGGAGAGAGGGTGGAAGCTACAGGTCCTCTTGAGGCCTGGGCTCCAGAACTGTCACATCACTTATACCAGATTCTGTTGATCAGAGTAATTCGCAAGGCCAGCCCAGCTCAAGAGAGTGGAGACGTAGACATACTGCAAAATCACATTTGAAAGGTGATCAAATGTGGATCCTAGGGTAGGAAGAATCTTTGACCTTTAAACAATCTCTCAGAAGGAGCAATATGTCTCTTACTTCTTTATCCCAGCAGGGTGTCTGGCACATAAGAGATATAATAAACATTTGTTGAATGTATACTAGCTAAGTGCTTGAGATTTGGAGATTGTTAAACATGACACAAAAAGTATTCATTGGGTAAACACATTTTCTGTAACAGAGTCCCATTTTTATGGCAAAGCTTTGCTTCTACTTAGTTCACCAAATCAACTTACGCATGCATTTATTGAACAGATGTGTTATTGAGCCCATACTATGTGCCAGCCATACTGAATTATAAATAAGACTAAGGACCATACCATCAGCATTTTCTTACAGCAGTGAGCACAGTATTGGTTACATAGGTAAATATTTCTTGACCTGACTCCTCACTTAGAAAGCACCTGTTGAAAGTTTGATTGGTTTTGGGTTTACTCCATACCCCAAGAATTATACTTAATTCCTGCAACTTCAAATAGACAATGGTTTTCCCCCAATCCAGTGCTCTACAGAGCAGAGAGAAGGGGGAGCACAGTTATTTCAGACTACTTACAACTACACAGGGTAATTGTGGCTTGTATTCACCTTACTATAAAATACCTTGAGACAGTTATGCTGCAAAGCTAGTCACATCTACTGTGGACCTGGTCACATTCAGGTAGTTATCTCACATCCTGAGAAGTCCATGAAGATTGGTTTTTTCATAACCAATCCTTTTGTCCTTAATTTACTGATACTACTGATAGTTAGACTTCCTCTCCTCACTATTGGTTTAAAGGTGAACTAGTGCATGGTTTTGTAATGATTTTCAAGCCATGTAGGGCTCATGAAATGAATTCAGTGGATTGGACTAGGATAATTTTCATGAAACAGACTTCAATAGAACCTATCAAAGTTCATTGCACATTATAAAGGTAATAATTTCTGTTGCAGTTATATGTCTTTGTACATAGGGGTGTGTGTGTGCATGTGTGTGTGTTTGTATACATGCAGATGAGTATGCTGGGCCACAATTTAAGATTTATTTCTTGGTATGGGTTATTGTCAAAAATTTTTGAAAATTACTGTTCTCGAACAGTTGAGAGGCAGGAGAGCTCCTCATTCGTTTGAGGGCAGGAAGTGGTGTCCTGAATAAGGGGCCTCGGGGAAAAGCCAGATTCAGAAATGCAAACAGGCTCAGAGAAGCCCAGCATCCAGACTTTGGGGAGAGTTAGAGGAAGGGAGGCCCGTGAGCCTGATTCAGGTGTAAGGAGAGGCAGCTCCAGTTTCACGGGCAGCCTTTGCCCTTGCTGACCTGCCAAGAGGCCAGAGTACAAAGGAAAATAGGGAGATACTTCTAAAAATCAAGACTGGACATCGACCAGGGCTTCTCCAGTATAGTGTTCCCAGGAAACCCAACATAATTGGGCAAAGGACATCCCAAGCCACATTGTGTTTGGCCACATAAAGAAGGGTCACAGCTGCCTCAGCTGATCAGTGATCAGGCAGTATAGCCTTTGCAGCATGGGCATCCTAGCAGGAAGCCAGAGAGGGGAAACGTTGACCCATTCTTCTCCATTATCCTGTTTCATAAATTAGAGCCTGAGGGTTGTTAGAGAGCATCTAGTTCAGCCTCCTCAAAACAAGTCAGCACCCAGAGGCCCTGAGAGAAGGGCTTGCCTAAGGGCTCTTAACAGGTGATTGCTTTCTTCTGCCTTATTCTTCCCTTTTTGTTGTTTACAATGTGTATAGAGCATAATGGCTAAGTGTGTAAGCTTTAGACCCTACCACTTACTAGCTATACAGTCTTAAGCAGGTTACGTAGCCTCTCCCAAGCTTCCTTTTCTTTATTTGTAAAAAAAAAAAAGAGAGAGAGAGAGAGAGATAATAACGCCTGTCTTAGAAAATTGTGACCATTAATGAGATAACCCATGTAAAGATTTAAACACAATGCCTAAAGTACTCTATAAGTATGAGCTGTTACTATAATTAACCTCATTACTATTTCAAAGGGGGGAAGGAAAGAGAGGAAGGAGACACTATTTAGAAAGACCGCTGTGACTGGGTGGAGGATGGATTTGGAGGGCCACATAGGGCACAGTAGCAGCAGGGTGATGAGAAGCGGATGGACTTGAGAGGTAGAATTGCAATGACTTGGCAGCAGACTGCTTGTGGGAGGTGGTGAAATAAAGCTGTCTTTGAGTCAGTGTG